TGCGTGTTCATTCGTGTGTGTGTGTGTATCATCATCGTCATCATTTTAGCCTTTTTCCAATTAATTGGGAATGGCTACATGAATCTTGGTTCTCCATTTTGCTCTATTAAAGACCATATCCTTAGTGAGGCCATAAGTCCCCATGTCTTTTCAAACTACTTCCAACTACGTCCTTTTGGGCCTACCCATTGCCATTTTCAGTCCTTACACTTGGAACTAACTCGCACCTCCTAACAAGTGTTGTATTTGGTCGACGCCACACATAGCCAACCCACTTAAGTCTTACTCCCTCTCATTTTATCGCCTATTGGTGCCACGCTTTAATTTTTTCGAATAGATTCATTTAAAATTTTATCCCTTCTTGTCTTGCCACTCATCCATCTTAACATCTTTATCTCTGCTACACATTCTATGGGTATATAATTTTTTGTCCGCCCAACGTTCCACCCTATAGAGCAAAGTTGGTCTCACCGTTGTTCTATAGAACTTACCCTTCCGCCTCAGTGGTATGCGACAATCACATAAAATTTCAGTTGCACGTCTCCACTTCGCCCACCTAGCTCTAATTCTGTGTGCGACATCTTCCTCGATCTCTCCATTTTCCTGAATTATTGACTCAAGATATCGGAAGTGCGCTCTTTTTGTACTTCCTAGCCGTCAATCTTGACTAGTTCCTCATCTCTACTCCTATTATTACTAAACTTGCACTCCATATACTTTGTCATAGTCTAACTAATTTTAAAAGCTTTAGATTCTAGAGCATCCCTCCAAAGTTATAACTTTGTGTTGATGTTGTTTCGAGTCTCATCAATCAAAACTATGTCATCTGCGAACAACATGCACCACGGTACCTCATCCTGTAGGTGCCTAGTTAAGTCATCATAACTAAAACAAAGAGATACATGCTCAATGCTGACTCTTGCTGTAAATCTATTGTTATTGAAAACTCACTCGTCTCTCCACTAGTTGTCCGTATACTAGTTAGCGCTCCATCATATATATCTCTCACCAAGTCAATGTAGTGTTTAGAGACGCCTTTCTTTTCCAATGACAGCCAAATCAAATCTTGAGGTACTCTATCATAAGATTTCTCTAGATCAACATAGACCATGTGGAGGTCTTTTCCTTTTGCCCTAAACTTCTCAATAAGTTGCCTAAGTAGGAAAATAATCTCAGTTGTTGACCTTCCCGACATAAAACCAAATTGGTTTTCAGATACACTCTTTCCATGCGTTAGTCATTACTCAATGACTCTCTCTCAGAGCTTTATTTTATGGCTCATAAGCTTGATCCCCCGAAAATTTGCACAATTCTGTATGTCGGCTTTGTTTTGTAAATAAGTTCCACAATACTTTTCCTCCATTCGTCTAGCATTGTTTTTTGTTCTCAACACCTTGTTGAATAGCCTTGTCAGTCAGTCAATGCCAATTTCCCCAAGCACTTCCAAACTTCTTTCAGGATACCATCTGGTCCTAAAGCTCTTTCTATCTTCATCTTTTTCAAAGATTCTTTCACTTCCAACATCCTAATCCTACGAATATATCTACAACCTTCGTCGTCACTTGTACCAACAGTTCTTTCTACCATTATGTTCCCATTTAATACTTTTTTAAAATACTCTCCACCTTTTGTTGACCTCGTCATCCTACACCACGATTCTTTGATCCTCACTCTTAATACATTTAATATGGTTTAGATCCCTACATTTTTTCTCTCTTATTTTTGCTAATTTGAAGATAACTTTTTCACCTTCTCTTGTTTTCAGTTTATTATATAAATTATCATATGCCTTAAGTTTAACTTTACTTAATATTTGTTTTTAGCATTTTTTTTAACATTTTTATATTCTTCTAAGTTTTGATAGTCTTTATTACTGCCAAGTTTTATAACAAGATCATTTTTCGCTAATAGACTTTCGAACCTCATCATTCCACCACCAAGTTTCCTTATCGAATTTCATATATATATATATATATATATATA